GCCTTGATTTCTCTAACTTTAGGGAAAATTTATAAATTACCTTCTTCTCCTCTTCTGAGATGACCTTCTGCTGTATTTTTTTTTACTCTGCTTTTATCATTCTGAGCAGGACTTTACCAGGCTGTATTGCAGATCAATTCTCTCCTATTGAGAGGCAAAACATACTAGATTTCAGGAAGGCCACTATAACTTAGACAAAGGCAAGTAGAAGGGTATTAATGGAGGCCAGGCTGTCAAGTGTCAGCTTTCACTATGAAGAAACAACTGGCTGTTCAAAATCCCAGCCTGTGGATATCCTTCAGAGGACTGGGTTACTGATTGTGATAAGGGTTTTATTTGCATGGTTGGATTAATATAGCTTATTCCTTTATGTTTCTGTTAACCAAGTCACACACAGCTTGAGATGTGAACACCATTGCTGAAACTGAAACTCCCACCTTTCTAATGTAAGGATTTGGGAGCAGTTCACAGACTAGATCTCTTTCTCTCTGGATGCAAAAATGAAACAGGAGAATAGTCATGTCCTCCCAGACCCAACCAGCCTCATCTAGCCTCTACAAAGACACGATAATTTAGTTTTTATGGTACCTATAGGGCTTGTTCAGACAGATTACAGCACAATGGCTCCACATAAAACCAGCTGCTCCTGACACAGAAATTTCAGCACTAACATTAACATGACATCAGCCTATGACCTGAGAGTAGGCACAGCTCTGTCTAAAGGAACTGGCTTCAAGTGCAGAGCAACCTCCAAGGATGTTGAATGAAAACAATTGACTTGTGAGTGGGCAGATATGAAGACAGGTTGTACATGGAAGAAGAACATTTCTTCTGCCCCTGGTTGCATGGCTTCACATAATCTACCATGGGTGCAGGCAGGAAAAGAAGGGGAACCCCTTGTAGACAGCAACTAAGAGCCCTCCCCTGACAAATGCACTACACTGACATGCAGTGATTCCTGTGACACTTCAAGCTGTGCTGAAGTCTTAGAAATGCCTGGCAACTGATCCAAGATGCTACTGGCATTGAATTTTGCTAGAGTTGCTCGTAGATCCCTGATCTGCACTGACAAAGAGAGTTCTGCAACTCAAACACAGCAAACCAAAGCCAAATTGTGCAACAAATACAAGGGTCTCTACAAGTTTGATAAGCAGATTACACAAGTTTGCACAGGGCTTGACTTACTCACTACCCACATCAAGGGCTGAGCATACAGACTGCAACACTCAGCCCTCTGACCAGCATCCATTACCAGTGCAGGCTGTCAGCAAAGGCCTTTTGGAGCACAAACAGTTTGCACTGGCTTCTCTTGCCTACCAAAAAAGAAAAGACAGCAGTCTGAGCACTACAGTAAATGCTACTTTCTGAGAAGCCTTTAACCAGTATCATTTATTAATGGTCTATTTTCCAGAAGCCTGTTTACTCAGCACATAGCTTACAAGAGAGCAGAGAAAACTCTGTGGCACCAGCTCTGCAGTGCCTTCCCTGCTTGCCACCAGCCAAATCCTGGGCCATACCCAGGCACTACCATAATTAGCAGTTTGGACATACAAAATTGCTGAGAGTAGAAACCAGGTAACAACCTTGATTGCAAACGCTCTGCTGTTAACAAATCTCTTCCAGTACTAAAAAAAACTATCACTTAATGCAGTATCAACATCCCAGGCCAGTATTTACTGTCACAGACACAGTACAGACAAATTTGTTCCTCAAGGAGCACCAGCTGTGCTACAGTATGCTGCTGATACCTTAGTTCTTACCCTTCAGAGGAAGGAGATGACCCTGAAGAAGTCCCAAGTCTGATTACTTTAAGATATACTACAGTTTACAGAAATAAGTTTGTTTCTGAGAGGATGCATGTGTGGGAGATACACCAGGCCAGGCTCCATGGACTTTTAATATTACACAAATCAATCCTGTGCTGAAACATAAACTGCAGGATCTCTTCCACCTGGAACCATAATCAGAAATTAAGTCATATGCTCATGCAGCTGTGGCAAAGAGCAAGTGAGGGGAGCTCCCTTATTCTCTTGCACTGTACTTTTTTTTTCTTCTGTAAGGGAACAGCAAAGCTAATCAGCAGCATTTAGGTAACTCTAATAAAAGGATTTAGGATGTTTAGGAAAGCATCCTAATGCCTCAGTAAAGAAAAAGCAGATATGCATAATGCATTTTAGCAAATTCCAAAAGATGGTATGACCTGTTCTCCTTAGAATGCATCAATCACAGTAATATCACTTTCTGTACAGACCTCACGGTATATCCATCCCAGTGAGTTTTACAGAGGGTTCATGTTGATAGTGCACACAGCAAAGGATGGGATACTTGAACTAAGGAAAGCAATTTGCCTTCCACCATGACTCTGCCCAAAGCTTAGAGGCAAGAGTATCCTCATCGTGCTGGGAAGTTATAAATGCATTTATTATGACATGCAGATACCAAGATGAGTGGCACAGCTGAGGACTCACAGGAAATACGGCCAGGCAACACCACTGTAAGGAAAGAACAAATCCTCATTCCCTCTACTGTTCATAACCTGCTTGGGGTTACACTGCCTGCTCTTGCAGCTCATTGTGGACAAGAAATTAAGCAGTACTAGTTACTGTATTCCTATTCAGCTCTGACTTAAGCACTACTGCTCCTGAACAAGAGTCAGGTGTTTCAGCACCATGCTGAAGTAACAGTTTATGTACCAGGCTGCTTCCACCTGTGAAAGCAAGGAAGAGAGAGAGAGGTGGCAGGAGCACTGAGCAAGCACATCTAGGACACTTGGGTCTTGTGAATTCTATTGCTAGAGGGGCTCCCTGGAGGCTGTAGAGGTTTCAACCCAGAGAGGGGTTGGCTCCTGCTGGGAGGACACAGTTTAAAGAAACAGCACAGAATTGGCAATGACAATGTTAATAATTTAGCACCTCTCAGAAGAGAGGCAAGAAGTGCTGATGCTCAACTTTAACCCTTACTGTCCCAAGGAGAAAGGTGCCTCAGCCCTGACTGAAGCCCTTCACCACCAATAAGGGACTCTTCACCCTCCCTGCTATATGTTCCATATTTATCCATATCCCCCCCTAAGTTAGACAGCAGCTGTTTTGAAATAAAACCCTTTAAGTCTGCAATCAACTAACAAGGAGCAATTCAGTTCCCCACAGCATTGTGTGAGGTATTTTCTTAGGCATAGAACATGAACTATGTTTTAAGAACTGATTTTAAAAGCCTATGCCTAGTTCTTCAAAGAACTGGGTTGATAACACTGGCAGATAGGACAGAACTTGTTACTTGACCCATATGTATATTTTCTGGAAAAAAATCACCTCTGGTGCTCAGCTAAGTCTGATCTTGCTTTTGTTGCCTGCACAACACATTTAGAATAGATTATAGCTTTTGAAAGCTCTACAGAAGAACTGCAAATAGAAATGACAGTAGATGGGAAGATAATGCACTTTATCTGGTAAGTGTCTTGTAGATGAAATACTGCCTAAGCTTAACAGCCATCTGTCCACTTAAGGACAGTAGAAGAAAAAGCCCTCTGATGTGAAAAGGGCCTGAGGTAAACAATGACACTGTTTTAACACTTACTTGCTTAACATTTCCAGCTCTTGCTGATAAATAGGAGCTGAATAGCATTCAGGCACACCCCAGCACTCCCAGGAGATTTGAAACTGTCCTTCTCATGCATAATCTGCTGGTGAGCTTTGTTCACTATTTTAGCTAAACCATTAATTAAGGGAAAGCCTTCCTGCAGTCCCATACACCTCTGCAAGAAGAATTTGATAGTTATGCTTTGCCATGTGGGTTGTTAACAATGAGGGTCAGTCTCTTGTTAAGGAAGAAGGGAAGGACATCCCTTCAATAGGGATGACAAGTGCAGTAGGAAAGTATAAGGACTATGTATTCCCTTGGAGCCCCTTTTGGGTCCCCAGACTCTAACTAAACAGTCACCTCCTGGACATGGGTTTATTCTTGCTACACAGAAGAATGCATCTCCCCAGATTAAAAAAAAAAAAAAAAAAAAAAAAAAAAAAACCCAAAAAAAAAAAAAAAAAAAAAAAAAAACCACAAAAAAACCCCAACCAAAAACACCCAAAAAACCCAAAAAAAGCACAAAAAAACCTCCAAAAAAACCAAAAACAACTGGGTACTGGTTTTAGATTTGCACAATCTCCAAAAATCTAAAAACTAATGCAACAGGCAATTACTGAAGGAAGACTGGTCATATTTTGCAAGAAAGAAAACAGTGCTGCTAGGAGAAGAACTACTTGTAAAATGAAATGTGAATCAAAACTGTCTCAGGGACAAGTTGCACACACCTCAGCATCACAGCTCTGAGAAGAGGCAGCCAGAGCTTCTAGAGCCCAAAAGTCTGCAACTTCAACATGGCCCATAAATGTATGGACATATCTAAACCAGCCCACTCAAGATAAAAACTCACTTTTAAATGCATATACTCCCAAGGGGAGCACAAAGAAGATGTGATTATTCTTTATACCGACAATACCTGCTAGAGGAGCAAAGGCCATTAGAAGGTCTCAGTCTGCTTGCCCAAATAAGAATCACTATCAAACTTTCCTCTCTGCTAAAGGAAAGGAGACAGTAACACATAGATCTGACACTAGAATCCCAGCATCTCCACCCACTAGATGGCTCTTTTTCTGCCATACTCCACTTACTCCAAAACATATTCAGGAAGACTAAGATGTAAATGGGTCAATAAGGACTAGTAAAGAGAGGTACATTAGAAAAACTTGCTGTTTTAGCATCACCCTCTCTACAGAGGCACAAAGCTAAAACAGGTCTAGAGCATATTTAATTAGCAAGTCCCTGTTTCTCATCTCAGTAGGACCAAATAATTCATCTGCACTTTAGAAAACCTCCATTCCTATCCTCAGCTATGAATACAGTGATAGAGTCACACAAATAGGTACAAAGAAACATAACAGAAAAGACTAGCTGAAAAGACTGCTCCCCCCCAGTAACCATAACAACAAATAAGAGAAATCTGCTTGTCTGAGGGATCAGCTTCTCTCTTTTTGGTAGTATCTTTTAACATCAAAACAGCAGCATTGGAGTCAAAGAACAAAGCTCGAGATAGTCACAAAAAATAAAGGATGTATTTTTCTCCAAAGATCAAAACTGTAACTAACATAAGACATTCATATTAGAGTATTAAGTTCAGTGTCCAGAAAAAAAACTCATCTGCCATATAAAAAAAAAAAGATACTGAAATTGCTTTACTGCTCAAGAATCTCTTTGCTCAAAACTGCTTAATTCTTCTCTCACCAAGTTTTGTCAGTAACTTGATTTTAACTACATTGTACAAACAACTTTTCTTCTCCACCCTCATCTCATTTATCTAAAGCTCTTCTTTTGTTCTGGAGAGTTTTGTTGCATGCTCCTCTATAAATTTGCTCAAATGCTCTAAATCTCTGTCCCCGCCTTCAAATTTAATCGGGTTGTTCTTCTTGTCCTTTGGAGCAAAGTAGATGGTGGGGAATCCCTCTACTTTGTAGTGGTCATTCGTCACATCGTTGGCAGTAGCATCCATCTTGGCTATAATCAGATTTTTCTCATTCTTGTATTTTTTGCCTAGCTCATTATACTCTGGCTCTAGTTTCTTGCAGTGTCCACACCATGGGGCATAGAACTCTATGAGGACATCATTCTTTGGATCCATCACTATGGTATCAAAAGTTTTACCCACTACCACTTTTACAGGCCCTTTGTTATTTTTTGGCACTGGCTGGGACTTCACAATTGGCTTCAGTTTTCCTAGAAGAAAGCAAAACACACAACACCATTAGAATGTGGTAAGAGCACCCCTTACAATCTCCTCTGAGAAAGGGCAGAAGTACATCCTCCTGCCAGGGAAAATCACTGCACTAGCAAATGAACTTGCCTCAGCATGAAACACAGGCTAGTTAACTGGTGACCTTGTGGCCCAATAACCTCGTGAAATATGGGCAACAGGGGGTTTTTGCAATTCCCTAGAACCCTTCTCTTTTTATGGCTGTCCATCCACAAAGTAATAACCCATGATTTAATATAGTAGTCCCAAATATGAACGACCAGCTCATACTTTAAAGCCACAGGAACATTTTAGGCTTGTAAAACAGGCTCAGTTTACTGGAGCCATTGCCTCGGGAAACAACTCTTGGAAGCGTAAACAAAACAGCTTAGAGAACCCTATGTTAGAAAGTGTACCTTTTTTGAATGCCACCACAAACTGCCTGAGCACATCAGAGTCAAACTCTTCTGGCTCCATGGCATACTTCTTGCCACCTTCATCCAGAATGGCAGCGTTGACATCCTCTCCACTCTCAAGCAGACCCAAATCTTTTATTTCGGAAGAATAATCTTCCTCATCAGAAACAGCAAACACGTATTCAGGGAAGTCTTTAGCCACTTCCAGGACTTTGCTTCTCCAGTACTGAGTAGCTGAAAAGAACAGAATAGGACAGAATTGGTAATTTCTAGTTATTTAGTGCCTGCTTCCTCTCAAAGTGAAGGAAGGGTAATTGTAGCAAACCTACCAACACGGTAGTCGAAACTGAAGTCCACGGAGTAGTAGACAACCACTAAAGGACGCTTGGAGTATCTCTTGCCATCGTTGGAAGGCTTGCGATGACCAACTAGAGGCAAAGCATGTTTTAGCACGTGCTCTTTAATCTCAGATCCATCTGTAGAGTCCTGTAAAGAAATAGTAAAAAAAGTTCAAGCAAACAGATTTAAGCAGCATTTCGGCTACACACTACTAAAAAAACAATACTGGGACACGCATGAATGCGAAAGTGGGAAGGACATGTTATAAAAACAAAGCTGTCAACACATTTTCTTCAAACCTTTGAGCACCAAATATTGTATGGACAAATTATTATTTGAAAACACAACACCTGGACTAATTTCATAAAGTCCTCTTGAAAAAGAAGTACAGTTTCAGTGGACAAACAGGTTGACTCAAATATCCAGTGGGAGCACTTCCAACAGGAAGATGCCAACTGATCATAATTACAGAGAAAGAGAACCTTCAATCCCACACACAAACACTTTAGGTCTGGACCATCTACTCACTTTAAGATTCAGAACATGCATCTTGGGCTCGTGCTTCGACTGAAATTTTTCTGGCTGCATGACAACGAGTTTTCCTGGAGAAACTTTCAATAGTTTTGCAATCTCGTTGCTGAAGGTGTGATGGAACTTATAATCTTCTCTCAAACCATTAGCTGAAAAATTAAGGTTAGGGTGAAGGAAAAGTCATTAGAAAGTGAACTGACAGCCTGTAACTGAGATCTTGAGACTGTAGCTGCAAGGAAACACTCTTCCTGTTCTCCAAGTGACACAGAACAATCCAGTCATAGACAACAGCTCTCATCCAGGGGTGAGAAGCATGTGAATATACATACAATTCCAGCAGCACTATTTGAATGCTGTTCAACAGCCCATCCACTTGGCAAGTTATTCTACACACTCAAACACCTTAAACAGCTTCTAAAACATATACAGCAAAACAGTTATTCTTTTGTCAATCTCTTACCTCTTGGCTTCCTCCCAAATAAGTCAGCTAGCCTAACTATTTGCTTTGGGGCAGCCTGAGAAACAGTTCTGTATCTTGCCAAGCTGAAGCAAACCAATTAGCCTAATCCAACTATGACAGCAGCCTCAGAATCAGACATAGGTTGGCAGGAATGGTCTAACTAAATTGACCCAGAAGTGGATGATGATCCTTTCTCCAGGCCTCTCATCCCAAATGAGTTTGGTGACAATTGACTCTGGGCTGCCAGACATGAAACAAGAGTAACAGACAGCAAACATATCCAGGCTTTAAGCCAAGAAATTGTGGTTTGCTCCTCAGGAAAGAATTTTCCTTCCTCTCTAGTCCAAATGTTTTTAGGGACACAATTACCAAGCATATTCTGTGACTGGCTGACACTTTAGTTACAGCCTCAGAATCTGATGTGAACTTATTTTTTGAGTACAAGCAGATCATCACCCTTCCTCCTACTACTTCTTCTCCTCTCCAATCCTCCCTACTGTACTAGGATCAGAAATTATCTCCCTATGTCCAAAGTCCTAGGCAGAATCCCAACAAAACATATATTCCATTAATATTCTAAAACATTCTTTACCTGCTTCCTGATAGAGCTGATAGGTTTTATCATTCTCTCCACTAAAGACACCAATGATGATGACATCATCCCCATCCTTCAGAAATTCTTGTACCTGCTTGGTAGCCTGAATCTGTTTGGATGGAGGACCAGCCTGTTCAATCATGTAGTCGACAATACCTGTGAGAGAAACCCGCCCCCAAAAAGTTGCTTAGAACATTTAGTGAACCAAAAGATTTGGGCATTCCATCTAAAACATTTAATGTCATTTCCCATGAACACCTTTCCTCCTGTGCAGCCCTCCCACAATAACCTGAAGACCAAATCAGCAAGATTTCAGTCCAAGTTTTTAAAGCTGCATTTCTGATTATTTCCTTTCAGGTTGGTTTCAGAAGAGGCGATCAATCCACGAATATCAGTTGACCTTGCAAGCAATGCTCCTTTCTGAAATTCCATATCCTTCACTGTCTCCTGATCCTGTTATGAGCCAAAGTGCTACTTGAATAGTCTTAAGTCTAATTAAAACTTAATATTGAGTATTTTTGCCAGCCCTCAAGATGCATTCCAGTATAATTAAAACCTGCCCATTTACCCATACTGTCACTGCTTCACCATGTGTATTTAACTTACTTGATATTGAAAGAAGCTGATACTACCACCAAAAGATGTTATGAAGACTAGAGACAAACCTAAATATCCTGTGTAGGTATGAGAACAGAATTTTTCAGTTTTCCCCAGCCACTGCTGCTAGGACATTAACAAGTCTGCAAGTCCTACAGATAAGTCAGAATATTTGTGGCCAAGCCCTCAGAAAATAAGAAAAAGCCTAATACCATATTTTTCCCGCGGACCACTGTAGTCATAAGGTTTGCCCTTGCGGAAGATTTTGAGAGTTGGGTAGCCAGTAACATCAAACTTCTTTGCAAGCTCCGTTTCAGCCGTGGCGTCGACTTTAGCCAGGGGGATGGGAGGCGTGCGCTTGCTGAGCTCCTGGGCAGCCTTCTCGTATTCTGGAGCAAGCCTCTTGCAGTGTCCACACCTAGGGAGGGAAAGCAGAGGCCACTTCTTACAAGCCATTAAGCCTGCCAGGTACCTTCTACCCCTGGAGCAGAAGAGTTAAGACTTCCAGAATGCAGAAATGGGATCACTGAATCTACAGCGCACACTTCAGCCTAGAAAGATGTGTCTCTGCAACCTGAAGCTGGCCTCTGTGCCTGGCCTCACACTACTATAGGTAGCTTCATTTTTAGAGGCCATTTTTAAGCTAAGGACCAATTCCCTTTGGTTTTCAGTACCTCAGTGTGCTCCCAAATTAATAAATATTGTGAACCTCCAGTAAAGATTTGGACACCCCTTGCTGAGACATAGATCCAGTCTAGTCTGCTAGTGATTTGCAACATGATCCCAGGTACAGATTAGAAATGAGGTATACCAGAGCTTTGTATGAGGCAAAGGTGTGTAACGAAGCATAACAACAGAAGACAGGTTCACCAAGTATGTTCAGACCATCTGTGCTAGACAAATACAGGTAACTGCCTTCTTACTTACCATGGAGCATAAAACTCCACCAGGATTATGTCAGCATCGTTCACAACTTCATCAAAATTATCCTGGGTCAATACCAGAGTAGCTTCAGGTGGAGGGGTCCAGTTGGGATCAGAAACCTCCCTGACTTTGGCCACAATAGCTGAAATACAGTTCCATAACCCAATTAACAAACAGGCATTTTATCATACCAGTAGCATGTCAAATACAAGAATTTGAAAACAGAGTGGCAGGCACAGTATTGGACCAAAGCTTACACATCAAACTGAAATGAGAACGCTTTCTTAATCAAGCTTCTTTATCCCCTATTGCCTTGTTTGCATTACCAAGAAAGTCTTTTCTTCACCCCCATAGAGTGTCTTATGCAGAGCACAGATGCGTATTTTGCAGCACTGAATTCCATCTCAAAAGAGATGAAAATTCCATCTCAAAACAGACAGAAAAGGTAGTTTTTCCCCTTCTCATTAGAGCTGGGCATATTAATTAAGCAAAATACAAGTGCGTTTCTGTACAGTCAATATATAGATCAAATGTTTATTGGCTGATCCTTCAGCAAACATGAGACTATCTCCTCTTCCAGTCAAGTCATATTTCTAGAAACCTTCTGTTAGTAACAGCACTACCCACCACCTGCAAAACTGTCCTCTAGCATGCAGCCTGTTAAGAAAACGGGGAAGATTTCAGCATTCATAGTATTACTTGTTTTAAGATAAATAACTTGAGATCAGAGTCCTTCAAAACAGCCACATAGTAAGAAACAAGATCATATGCTACTTTGTTTTCTTACAGGGAACTGCAAAGGACTGGTGCTTACCATCTTCTGTTCGAGACCCATCATAGTCAACAGCTTGGCCTTTTTTCAGGATTTTGATGGTTGGGTAGCCACTGACATCAAAACGACTCGATAGTGAAGTGGCTGCAGTAGCATCTATTTTGGCTACAGGAATAGGAGGGTCATTTTCCTTCAGAGTTTTGGCTATCTTTTCATACTCAGGAGCAAACTGCTTGCAGTGCCCGCACCTGTCAGAGGAAGACACAAGTAGGTATGTAATTGAATGACAGACATGCAAAGGTGCTCTGCTGCTCTGTATTTCCAAGATGCCTCTGGCAGACGTTCACATCATCAGCACAGAAATGTTTATCTTGCTACATGTTCAGATCATGGAGACATAGAGAGCAACTGTAGCTAATGTACTGTATGTTCACATCAAAACCTTTATTTTTCTTAATTTTCATTCAATGTGGAATGTATTGTCATATGCTTTATAAAACCACTGTAAAAAAATTCAACAACTGTTTTTACAACAAAGTTGTAAACCTTGTATTATGTTCCCTCCTTCCTTCCTCCCCCCCTGCCCCACCCCTGACAAATATGGTCTCAATTCAACTACAGCTTCTCCCTAACCAAGGTTCATATTCCCTCCCTAGCACCCTAAATTGAAGTAAAGAAAAATGAAACAGCAGTTAAGTTGGCCTAATGCAATCTCCCACCCACCATGGTAACACAGCATCTGCTCCTTCTCTGGCCACACCAGAACTCACTGGGGAGAACAGAGGCTCCTGCTGCAAAAGCAGGCATGACCAAGGATAACAGCATAATAAATGCTAAATATAGCCTGACAAGCTAAAGAAGAAACCAGGAAAATATAGGAAAAGCGAAAGATGTGTGTGGCAGATAGCCTGTGCTCCTTAGCATCTCAGCTGGCAGGAGGGGGAGTAGAAAAATAGGAGAGGTGTTTAGTCTATGATGACACACATCCTTCTGCTCAGATAAATTGAACTTCATGTTTAGCTTTAATGTAGGCAAACTACAGCTGCAGAATTAGTGCCTACAGCCAAGCAGGGATGGGATTCTCTGTGACAAGAATGGCACAAGTTAAAATACAACTCCACCTCAAGCAAGATCATATTCTCCCCTCTGTTCAAAGGCTGGAGAAGGACCAATGAGTAAGTCATTTTTGTATCACTGAGCCACAAAGGAAAAGAGATTCTGGCTGCAATACTAACTCAGCAACTCTACTGAAAATATCTTCTACTCTTTTTTCCCCCAGTAACCATCCCTAATGTTTCTGAACATAAGAATGCAAGAGATGATACATCCTGGCCTAAATCCTTTGTCTTGGTTATATGCAAGTAAGTCCATTGTAGCTCCCTGGAGCACACCAGTGGTGCTGTATACCCTGGGATGCCAGCAGAACTGCCATCATTAGGTAGATGTATGAGGCATCTTAAATTGATAATACAAACAAGCTGTGTCCCTAACCACATCACACCCTTCTGGCAAGGACAGAAACGTGAATTTGGAAAGGAAAACCTTCTGGCAATTCCCCTGCAAGGGAAGCCTTCATTACTCCATCTAGATGAGCAAGTACACACATTCTCAGTGGTCCAGCACTGGCACAGCATGATAGCAGGCTGCAAAACCACGCTGCATGACTTTTCTGGGCCTCCCTGGGACCATTTCTGTTCCCTGACATGCATAATACAGAGATAGAATCAGGCTTGTGCTCCCCTAGGCATGGGATCCCTCAGTATTACCCACATCAGTGGAACAGGAGCAGACTGTTGGTTATTGCATGATACAGGGGTGGGAAAAAGGGTTCTCCCCCACCACCAAAAACAGCTTTTTTTCTGGACTACAGCAGAGTCCAGGGCATCTCCTGCAGGCAACTTAGTCCTTTGTCATCTTTAAAATGGCAACCCAAGCTCACTTTTTAGGAGCTTGTCCTGGCAGAGAAGCCCTCTGACGCTGCACCCATAGAGGCGCTGCTGTGAACCCACCATGGTGCGTAGAACTCCAGCAGCACAGTATCCTTGTCTGCAGTGAAGGTGTCAAAGTTTGCATCATTCAAGACTAATACACCATTTTCTTCTTTAACTACAGAATCATCGTCATCTTCATCATCCTCTTCTTCATCATCATCATCATCATCACCATCATCATCAACTTCTTTTGCAACAGATTCTGGAAAGGTAAGAATATACCACAGATTACATTGAGTCAAGTTTAACATTAAAGTGACAGTACTAGATTAAAGATGGATTAGGTTATTTCCCGTGGTTAAGAAAAGTACCCACATGAATTAGTTTCTGCTCCACATACAGTGACAGCTATCTCAGTTTGCAAAGAGCCTGGACTCAGATGTTTGACTATTTCAATTTTGTCCACGCCACACCAGCTAACAATATTGATATTTCAGTAAAGTATAAACAAGTATTTCACATTTCAGGGAGAACTAACAAAATGGACACAAAAAGAATAAATGCACACAAATCTATGCAACAGCTGCCACCAAGGTTTGATGGACATCTTGTTGAAATGTGGGCAGTGAGACATGTTTTGCTAGGCAAGAAGGGCACACAGATGATACCTGAACTTCAAACAGAACCCCTTCATCATGCAACAGAGCAGCTGTTCTTTAAGTGTAGCCAACTTGAAGTTGGAAAAGTTAGTGTCTTACACCAAAAAAGCAGGTGTTATCTGTTCCCAGTGCTTCCCTTGTACCCCTACTCAGGAGACCTGTAACACAACAATAGCTATGTACTGCCTGTCTGAAGGTCTAATAAACAGACACACTTGCTATAAACCCAAATGTTACAATTTTATTACTATCAAGGTAGTTTGGAGGCAGCACTTCAAAATTGTGCTTCTTTCCTGACTGCTCCATCCACCTCTGCCACCCTTGCTTTCAGTTACAGTGATGTTTCAGGGTCTGCTATTCATTGAGGAGTGTTTCCACTCACAGGAGCATCAGTCACTCTGCTCTGGATCAGCACCAGGATGCAGTGAGGGTAAAATCAACTAACTGACTGCAGGAGCCAGGTAGTATTCCTAAAAAAATATATAATGGAGTGAAAGCTTCTTCTTTCAAAGAACTTTTGGGGAGGCCTTTAAGATCAAAACCACTGGTCCAGAACAGGCTTTTAAAGGAGAAAGATTTGTTAAATTACCAAAGCAAAATTAGCATGTGAAAGCTGAAGCCAGCACATTTCTACTAGTTCATTCTTTGTTGGCTTGGAATTTGAGATAGTTTTTTCAAAATCTGACCTTTCACATGTTCCTTTAAACTATTTAAAATAACAAAACTCTTATCTTTCAAGGAAACAAGACCTTCCTGAAGGACTTTACAAGAATTTCAGTTACAGAACAAGTAATGAAAATATCTCATCCCAAATGAAAACTGTAAAACAATGAAGTTAAGTCCCTTTCGACCAGTGGGAGTCCCAGGAGTAGGATAAAAAAAAAATCTTGAAGAAAAAAGGGATTAAGGTTTCTTGTTTAAAATTATTTTCTATTTAACTTTCACTGGCTTTTGACTAAGATGAGAGGAATTACTGCAGCAGTATTCTGAAAATATTCTGATTTCATCAGGAAGTTGAAAGTTAAGAAAGATAAATATGTGCTATCCAGATATGAAAAAGCTAACAAAACAAAACCTGTTTTTCTCATACCAACAGCAGATATTAGGATCAACCTCACCATACATAAAATAATGGCATTAAATTACAATAGCTATTTTTATTTTTGAAGAAAGTATACAGAAACAAACTTATATGCTCTCAGGAAACAACATAGGATCTTGAAGAAAATATGTTGATTTTAATTAGAGGTCAAAATTATGTAGCATGAAAATACTGAAGCTTCTGATGAGGGGAGAGATCACAGGAGATCATTTATCACACAACAGTAGTCAGCTGGATTAAGTTTCTTTATCAAGCACTAGTGTTTCACCTGATTTTGAGGCAGCTAAAAGCACTATTTGCAAGCAGACAATGCCTCCTGTGTTGGAGCACTTGCTCACCCCTGAGTGAATCCATGCCTCACAGACCTGCAGGACTGCCCCGCTGAAACAGATTTCAGGGGGCTTCAGCAGGCAAATCTTGTGCCTTACATGGGTGCCCAGCAGTTCTGAGGGCTATGTTTCACACCAGGCTGCTCCTGGCTGGCCTGTGCCTGAATTCCCTGCCATTGCATTCTTGGCAAATTGCTTCAGACATGATTTTTCGTGAGACAAAGGAATGCAAGCAAAAGCAGCCGGCCAGTTCTGCTCCTGCACCTCAAACTATCCACCAAGTGTGATCCTTGTTCCCACTCACTCTGCTCACTACCATCCCCCAAGAGAGACTGAGACCACAACAGCTACAGTGGCACCTGTTTTTCAGAAAGAACAAGGTATCACCTGCAAAAACATCCAGCACTGGTGGAAAATGTAACCATTAGATCCATCATCCCTCACAGAAATACTTTTGTATATTTCCCTGCAAGTGGCAGTACAGCCTGAGAAGGTAAAACTTCCCTGACAGTGACACATTGTCATGGACATTACACACACCCACTTCCTGCTCCCAGGAGATGGAGGCAGGACAGCAGCACTGCAGCAGCAGGACTCCACCTTTTCCCAGACGGCTTAAAGAGGGCGTGCACTAAAAAGAAAGTTAAGCACGCAGATATCGGTCCTTAAGCGTGCAGACTTACTTTCTGTAGCTTCCAGCTTCACCAACACCTAAGGCTATCATAGCTACTACCTCTGCCACCCCTTCACTGTTGGGACTGAAAGACTTGTTTCAGGGACCCAAACACGAGGGAAGCAAAGACTTTTTTTTTTCCTATTAAGAGCAAGAAACTTTGGTTTGCATTAAAGATTTACAATTTAAAGAGAACAGAAAGAGTCTGTGACACCTAAAGTGGCAGAAGTGACTAATAAATACTTACATAAGTAACATCATGAAAATAAAACAGCTGCCCTCAAACTGACGTATCTTTGTTTCTTTAAGTGACTTGCAAAGACAGTGGACAAACCAACAGCTGTGACAGCTGTGGCTAAAACCTGTCCTCTGGTAAATTACTGATAACCCCCCTATATAAAAAAAAAAAAAAATTAAAAAAAAAATCACAAATTTCAACACATTACTACACAAGTCAATAAAATGATCAAGAAGGTACTTTTTTTAAGACTTGAAGTAGACAATGATGGCTGGCAGGCCTTCTTTAGGATGACAGCTACTCTGACATTAATTCTTACAGTAACTTCACTGAACAGTCAGCATTTATCAGAAGTACGGCCTAGTAACATTTTCTTAAACAAAGCAGATCCTGTACAAAAAAAAAAGCTGCATCCAGACACCAATGACTCTGGAATTCTCCCTGAAAGTTTCTTTTTGAGGAGCACACTGTTCCCTAATTGGATGAGCTCAGTTTTCACAAACCCAGAACTCAGGACTCATCATGTGTTGCTAGGACATTCGAAAGATTTTCAATATCATCAGCCCCCTTCAGTCTTTTCTGTGGTGGATCCTCTGCACGATCCCTCCTTTCCCATCATCCGGATGCTAGGAGTGTAGTGGTCAAGATCCAGGCTAACCTCTCTTCCAACATATTCACCTACCTGCCCTGCTCAAACCTCATTTCCCAAATTATGCAGTGCAACAAGGTGGGTTTGCTCAGAACTTTTCATCTCCCCAACAATTAATGTGCGTAAGATAACTTCCTTGTTCCAAAGTAAATTTAATCCATTTCACACAAGTCTGCATTCCAAGGGCAAAAATTGAAATCCCCAACTATGTGCACTTTTAAGGCAAAGGCTTTTTAAAGCCTAGTTCATGATCTATATACAAATTCAAGATACACAATAGAACCTGGAAAACGATTCAAGTGGGGCAGTGGATTAGTGTTCAGCTCCACACAGTAGGAGATACTTCCATCACTGGGTACCTTTGATCCCGAGAACTCCTATAAATGAGAAAAACAGCAAGCATGGGAAACACTGATGAGAGCCAGGCCCAGAAGAAGCTGAGCTACTGCTGCCAGCCACAGGTAACACTGTAATATCACAGGTGTTATTTCACCCTTTGAAGGCAGCAGGGGAAATCAGTACTAGGCTTTGTCACATGTTACAAAGAAACCATAACTATGTTCCAGCTAAAAGCAGAGAAAAACGCAGAAAAATTGTATTCCAGTTTACAACAGGAAAAAAAAAAAAAAAACAAAACCAAAAAAAAGAACTCCACAGGAAGATTCCATGTCTCCATCTCCTTACTGAAGATGCCATATCATTTAAAACAAATCTCTTCACCCTTATCCTACAGATCATACAGTCAATTACACAAATAGGGTAACTGATCTAAATGCATTTCTGCAAGTTTTAGTGTCTGTTAGGCAAGCAAGAATTTGCAGGATATGAGTTCAGAAGGTCATCCATAATCCAGTCTCACTAAAAGCCCTCTAATACTTAAAATACAGCAGTGTTCATGTAGGAAGTATGAAAGATGAGTAATTTACCAAAATCCACATGAAAAAAACTTAAAACCAAAAAACAGAAACACCTTCAAATGTCTGCCTCCTACATACAGGCACTATACTCAATAAGCCTGAGCAGCTTTGTTTCGGCTAATTTTGGAAAGGAAGAGACACATGTCAGTGAAATCCAAAGACTGTAGGAAGAGCAGCAAGAAGATGGTAACAATGGACCTTCCTTCTGTGAGGGGAAAAACAAATCGGTTTGAAACACGAAGAATGCACAGTCCCTGAACAAAGGATAAGGAAAAGAGTGCTCAATCACAGAACCACAGAATGCTAAGGATTGGACGGGGCCTTAAAGATCTCATAGTCCCAACTCCCCGGCCACGGGAAGGGACACCTCCCACTAGACCACTGCTTGGTGGTCTTGAACTGCCGGGATTGGGGTATCCACAACCTCTCTGGGCAACCTGTGCCAGTGCTTCACACCCTCAGAGTAAAGCATTTCTTCCTTATATCGAGGAAGAAAATTTCTCCTCTTTCAATCTGCATCCATTACTCCTCGTTTTATCACCACAGTACCAGAGGAAGAGTGCCTCTCCTAATAATGAAATCGCAATCTGTCCGATAGGACTCGGAATAAAGAAATCGCAAATCCGCTGGAGATTCAGAAGCCGGGGATTGCCAACATGGCTAATTGTTAGCTCGCTGTTAACTCCCTGCCTGGGAGAGGCGAGGCAGAGCCGCCCCATGGCGCAGGACAGACGAGCAGCGCCGGGATCAGCGGCTCGCACAGACCTCGGCGCCTTCAGGGGACGGGATCAGAGCCCTGCACAGAGGCCTGCGAGGAGCATCCGGCTCCAGCGGCGTCCCGCCAGCCCGGGCTCGCTCCCCGCAGCGCCCAGCGCCGGGGCCGCGCCGCCGCCTCCCGCGGGGGACCCAGCAGGCGCTGCCGGCGCGGCCCTGCCCGCGCTCACCTCCGTCGCCATCCTCCTCCTCCTGCGCCGCCGCTCCCCGCGCCAGGAGGGCGATCTGAGCCAGCCCCAGCAGCAGCACCAGCACCCACAGCCCGCGCATCCTCATCCCGCCGCCGCTCCCGGCCCGGCCCGTCCGCTCCCGGCGCTGCGCTCCCGCCGCTCGCCCCGCCCCTCGCGGCACGCCGCGACCGCTGATTGGCCGCCGCCTCAACACGTGCTTGGCGCGGTCGCCAATCAACAATCGTCACGAGGGCCGCCGGCGCGGGGTGCGCGGGTTTCGCGGCGCGCGCGGGTTTCGCGGCGCCCCCGGGGGACCCCAGGCGGCGGCGGCCGCAGCGCCGCGGCGGCGCACGGGCGCCATCGGCCGGAGCGGCGGCGGGAAAGCTGCGGCGCCGCCGCGCGCAGAAGCGCCCGGCCGCTCTGAGGTGCCGCCCCGCCATTGGCCGCCGCGGAGCCGCCAACCGCAGGCCGCCACGCGTGGAGCGCGCGGCCGCTCCGGGGGCGGGAGGCGGGAGGGCCCCGAGCGCGTGCAGCCACATCGCCCGTCGGGATTGGCGGGCGGGCGCCGGGGGGCGGGGCCAGCGGCCCGCGGCAGCCTATGAGGGCGCGCCGCGTGCGGCGGGAGGTGAGGGCGGCCTGAGGGCGGTGCTGGGTCCGCTCGGGTCCGCTCGGGTCCGCACACCGGGAGAGCGGGGGTCGCTAAATGCTGCCGGGAACGGTGGGATGGAGGCGCCGCCCTTGGCGATCCCACAGCGGCCAGCGAGGGTGTGGCGCAGCGAGCCCGCCGGTAGCGCCGTGACTGCACGGGAAGACGTCACGACGCAATTTCTGTCCATGGTTGTCCAGGTGCTTCATCTGGTGAACATCAAAGATGCAAGAAGACGGCGCTAAAACCTGGACTTTTGGTGCTAGAATTGCCGGTCTGTCCCCATGCTTGGGCGAATTACAGCTGCTCATAGGCTTTATGGGACAGTTATTTTAGTTTTACGAAATTTTTGAGGCTTGAATTGGTAGGTTGTAAGCATAAAGCACTGCTAAATTCAGTGTGCGGTGGTTACACTGTAAAAGAGTAGCAGTAACTTATGATAAACTAATATCTTCAAGGTTTTGAAGTGTGAGCTTAAATTATAAACTACAATTTTAGAGGATTTGGACGTTGCATTCCTCTGGAAGTCTATTGTTGCATCAGTTGCTATTTGGCATTTGTAAGTGGTCTGTAGGTTGAAAAAATAAAACATATTAAAAGGCCTGCTGGCTTCTACATTCATAAGTTACAGCCTAGAAGTCAATGCCCTGCCTCAACTCAGCTGCCACACAAGTTATCTTGAAAATACAGCAGCTGACAAAAGGAGCAATTTTTAAACTTACTTGGCATATCACTAGAATGGAATGGGACGTGATCCGAACCAAGTTAAAGCTGTCCGGATTCTGCCAAAATTGTGATCTCAATCCTGCCTGGTTTTGGTATTGATATATATATTAGTTTGATTAACATTGATAATTTGATGATAGGACATAATCAGATTGTACGCTCCATGTTCTCAGTGGGAAAAATTGAGTATGAAAGGTTTTTATTTAGAATCTTGTTCACTGTTTAACATAGCCCTTGATTTGAATATCATCTTGGTGTGTGAAATATTTACTGACTTTGTCCTCTGAGTTTATAAGAGTGGCTATTGTAATCCATTTTTTTCTGATTTATGTTGGAGGTTTTCCAACTGACAGCAGCCTGTCAAGGTAAAGAAGTACTGTCAGGCCCAGTACTTCATGGCAGACTAGGCCATTGCAAAACTGGTTAAAGTAGCTTGCAGAAAAAGTGAGCATGTAAAATGGGGAAGTAGTGTCAGTATTGCTTTTGTCTGCTGGACTGTGAAATACTGAATTAAATGCTTTTTCTTTCATGATGAATTTTATCGTTTATGTGGTTTCTATCTCTCCAGGTCAACCAACTGAAAAAGGATATTAGTAAAGTTGCTAGGCAGTCAAAAGTGCCAAATACCAACGTCCTGCCAGACAGTGGAAGGGAAATGCAAATGCTACAAATATAGGTGAGGTGGGTTTGTTTTTACTTATTTGAGGGAGGAAAGCCTGGAAGGCAGAACCCCTGTGATCCCTGTTCAGCCAAAGATTGCCTGACTGAGAAATCTGCTGAATTGTCAGTTCATTGTGTGGATAGTTACAACACTGGTAGCCTGATGGATCTTAGGCATGTCAGACTAGATAAACAGGACCTTGGCAAAGGACCATGGTCTGATCTGTCTTCAAACCAACAGGACTGTGCCTGTCTTCCTAGATTAGGGTTGCACAGAATGGCACAGTGAATACAGAGCTGCAAATGGCACACCAAGCAGCCGAGTGATTCATCCCAGACAGCTGTGCTGCCAGCTCCATGCAATTGTCAAATGTACTGGGCACTTGGAAGAGTGTGCCAGCTGTGCAGCTCTTGCAGGGGATTCCTTCCTACTCTCTAAAGGACTGGTTACCTGTGGGAGTGACCATATGAAGCTGAAAATCTTCTGGGCTAAGCACTACTGGTAAGAGCGCTGCTGCCTTTTGCTGAGTGCTCATTCCTTATCTAAGTTAATAACAGGAACACTCTTCTCTTTGCCAGGAGGGTCTCTAGGCAGAAGGCAAGTGGAACACCTCCCCATTATAGGGTCATCTATGGGTTAGATGCATAGAAAAGTGAATGGCACAGGTCTCTTGCAGCTTGTCTGTGAGAAATTGGCCATGCAAATCCCTAGTCATGGGACACACTGAAGGATCCAGAAAGCACAAGGCCTCACAGAGCACCTATGGTGTAGTTTCTGGGTAAAAGGTATTTTTACCTGATAACATCTGCTGTGTTGCAGAAAAATGCAGGTATTGGTGCACTCGGGTTGTTTGAAAGTGGATTACATTTTCTGCATGCTGTACCTTCATATCCTGATAAGGTGTTAGCATCACTGCTGGTAGACCTGCATGCCCAGGAACAAGCAGACAATTATAGTTCTTAAATAGGCTTCTCTTCAGGAACATTAAGTGTCTTTCCTGTTGGTTTAAGTTGCCAGTGGCTACCTTAACGTCTTCACAGGTTGCCCTGTGTTCTCCAACATCATTAAGTGGTGGGATGTGGAAATCTCTCCTTATATCACACTGTAATTTTCTCCTTTAAAAGGTAGTCTAGACACCAGTAATCCTGTACCTCATTTTGCACATTATGTGAGGCACAGCTGTTAGTCTTAGAAGAGGCATAATCAGCAGTAAATATCAAAAAAGAAAAAGGTCAATGTTCTTCCACAAAAATCATGAAAATGATAAGACATGTCAGACTAAGCTATATAGGGTCTAATTTCTGCTGTTCTTCTGTATTACAGTCTCAAAAGTAAATGTGGACCTACTTGGCCTTTCACAGGTTATGAGTTGACACAGGCAGACAGCTGGGAAAACCACAGATTCACAGCAAGAACTCAAAGAGTAAATTTGAGCTAAAAATGTAAGATTTAAAGTGGCACAGTGTCACACAAGTGTTTTGAATTACTTTTCTGGCAGTTTTCTTGTCAACCTCGGTTATCTTGTTTGCATAATAGCTGATCTTTCACATGATGCTGCCTTGCATGTAATCTTCATGTAAATCACTTCAGTGAACCTCAAAATGACGCTTAAAATATCCATCCTGATTGCATTTCACCTAAATGATTTGCATTTCACCTAAATCTAAAAACAATTTAGAGCAAGAGAGACACTTGTAGAACTTGTCATTTTTTTACTCAGTGTTTGATTCGTCTATTATGATGCTTATTTTAAAATACCTTTCAATAATTTTCAGTCATTGTTACAGAAAGATGATAAAAACTTTGATGTGAAAATGTTCCACTTCAATACTACTCAATTCTTCTAAGTTAATGAAATATGGTAAATCGCAATAATATAAATACTATTGATTCCTGTATTGCTCACTTGTTTTGCTGCAATGATTTTGAGTGTCTGTCTGGATGACTTCTTTTTTTGCCTTTTCTTTTGCCTTTTCTCTTTTTTTTTCAGGGACCTGCTTCTTAGTTCTTGGTTCCCTGTTACCCCTCGTTCTGTCACTACCAGCCTTGGTAAAAATTCTCTCTCCATCTTATAAGACCCCTTCATATGTTAAAAGGCTGCAATAAGTGACCCTGGAGATTTCTCCAGGTTGAGAAATTACCACTCTGTCAGCTTTTCCTCAAAAGGGAGATGTTTTAGTCCTGCCATCATTCCTGTTGCACTCCTCTGGCTTTGCTGTGACAGGTCCATGTCTTGCTTGTACTCCAAGAAAGGAGCAGAATTCCAGAGCTGGACACAGTGCTTCAGGTGAAACCACCACAGTAAAGTAAGGGGGTCCTTCTGCATAACTTCCTGTCCTTCTGGCGTATCAAGCATATTTGGACACTCTATGCTGGGAGGATTTGGGCAGTATTTGTGGTAGTAAGTTAACCAGGACAGAGGCAAAGGAATGTGATTATTTACTGTCAGTAAACTGAGATGCTGGCTGGCACAATGCTGGCCTGTGCCAAACAGAACACTTCCAAGGACTTCTGAACATTATTTTGGAGCTGGCACATTCTTGGAAGCTGTTTGTGTGCAGCCAGCCTGCTTGGAGAATGTGAGAATTTATTAGTACAGGTGCAGGCACCTCCACATTGGTTGGCCTGAGTGCCTAGGAATATCCCAGACATGCCCAATTTACTGGTATAGGTGTGGCAGTTCAGTGATGTTGGTGCCAAAAATAGCAGGGAACATGTAGGAAAGTCTGCACTCACTAAGATAAGTGGCCTAAATGCTGACCCTTACTATATTTTTCTTAGAGTTCTACATTGTCAGAATTACTGGATAATGAGATTACTTCAGATGTCTGTGAAGTTGCATCCTAAATTTGAATGACCACCTATCAAATACAGATCTGTAAGTGTAGTTCATATCTAAACCGTAGTTCATATCTACTTTTTCTTTTCTTCAGATTAAATATATACCTATAGAACACTTTCATGGATTTTATTGGTAAATTAACATGGAATAAACTTCAGAACTTTCAGCAAAGTCACATTCTAGTGTTTTCTGTGTGCAAACCCAGTCTTACCAGTGTCAACCCTACAGAGTGCTGATAGCTTTCATGTGACAGGGTGGATGTAACAGAATCTTGACAATGACTGCTGGAGTACCTTACTTTTTCAAAACTAGTCTTTCACTTTTTGTACAGGTGATAGAATGTCCTGCCTCCTGTAGAGGACAATTAAACATGGTGAAGTTCAGTGCATTACTGGCTCTGAGAGGCAAGTATTGAAAGATGCAGCTTAAACAAGTGGCAGAGAAGAAGAGGAACTGTATTTTTCTCAGAGAAGGTGCTGGTGAGGGACGTGTGGAGGAGCAGTTGTGCTAATGGTGCTATGCACCAGTCACTGGAAACACCAGTTTCATTTTGAGGTTGTTTTGGGGGGTTAGTGAAAACAGATGGAAATACAGATTTCCCAGCATTGTCTGTTTATACTCTAATGCCTGAGTGGATTTGTTCTGGTCTTAATTTATCTTTACTCTGATCCTTTGGCCTGTGAAGAGATCCACTGATCCTACAGGAAAAAAAGAAGGGGACATGGGATGAGCAATCCCCTTGAAATGAGGGTCCCAGTTCCATCAGAGTGAGTTGTCATATGCACAATTGGTCACAAGATGTCGGTGTCAAAGAGCAAGTTGGAATGAAGAGCCTAGGAAGTTGAGATCTCCCCGTTCCCCGTTCTGGGAATACTGCATGGATCATTTGCTGCATTGGCTCTTGGTATTGGAAACTGTTGCGGTATTGCTGGGGCTTGAGGCCATAGGGCAGGTCAGGAATTTTGGTTTGTGCATAAGACCCAACAGAAAGCTGAGAACTTTTTGAGGCAAGGTGAGAGCAGGAAGCAGATAGGATTAGGAGGAGGAACAGATTCTGGCTGGAGGAGTGGGCTATTGCCCTTTGAACATCTATCCTGTGTGGTAGAGTACTCCACTAGGCAAAGGTAAGTATCTTACATGCAGTTTTCAGCTGACCTGTGAAAGCACAGATCTTCCAGGCTGTCACCTGTAAAGAGCCCATTTTTTAATCCAGGATCATGATGCAAGGATTTAAGACTGGCTTGATCTGGTTGCTATGGTCTGTTGCAGTTTACATCAGTGGAAAAACTTCCTAATAAAAACTGCTGTGTGTAGCTGGCACAGCATTTTCCATCTCAGACTGCTGCATGGGAGTCAAGAGCAGGGGAGCTTGTGGGGCCATAGGAAGCCCACTCTTATAATGCTTTAGTTAAAACTATTATTTTGGCCCATCCTCCCTGGGATTTCCAGAAGCTTCAGGAAGCATCTGTTTCCCAGAAATAAAAATATGTCAGGGTAACTCATGCTTTCTACTGGAACATCATTTTCCAGAACTGTAGTTAGGATGTGGTCTCCTTAAGATTCAGTTAGATGCTCAGTACTTCCTTCATTAAAAACCTTTCAAATGGGTTACAAAATAAGAGTAGAAGTCCTAATTCTCTCTCTTCCACCCCTGACTCAAGCTGAGTAACAAAACATGCACCACTATAGATAAAAAATTCTTTCTATTTATAGCAAATCAGAACTAGACTCCTTGAACTGTGAGATTTGTTTTCTAATTAGCATTGCATGTTTTCCAAGATGCTCTTACTTTCTTATGCTCTAAAGGCTCAACCTAGTGTATTTTTCTCCTGTTTCTGTTCCCAAGCACAGGTTTGCATTTGCAGTTTGTTGTGGATTATAAAGCCATGTCATTTCTCTGTCGCTTCTAGCTTTTTTTAGGAGTAAAAGCACCAAGAGATGCTGCTTCTTGGTCTTCTGCTATCAAAAAAATCAAGGCATAAGCTATCCTGAAATCTTAAATAATTACATTGGCTTGCTTACACCAAATTTCCTCATATTTGTACAGGTTGCCAAAACAGGAGTCACATTATTTCCTTGAAAATTCCCTCCCTGCTGTCCAGAGCTGCTGTTCCAGCCCATATGGGCATAGCCAAGCTCACTGCTTTAGGTACCAACAGTGACAAAGCTGTTGAGAAACTGCCAGTGTGAAAGCCTTGGCAAGGCTTATACAATCTGTCCTGATCCAGATTCAACACCATGCAGCTCAAAGCTACTGGAAGTACAAGCAAGTCTGAATTTTCCCCTGCAAGCCTGCAGAACTGTACACTACATTTATGGGACTGTTCCTCAGTGCTTTCCACTTCTCCCTTTTCAGAGCCTCTTACCAGAACAGTACAGTAAGAGTGACCCTCTGTAATTCAACAGACTTTGGCTATATGTGAATACAGGTGGCAAAGCCATTTTTATGCTTCTTTCCATAAGAAAGCATATTGCTATCTCACCTCATTCTGTGACTGGCAGCTGCTACCAATTTGCGATCAGTATTCTCAGGTGGGTTGTGGGTGAGCATGTCTAAAATCAGTCACATGTAGGCTGGGAAGTGTTAGGCATTTACACTTCAAAAAGAAAGTGTCCTTCAGTACATCTCCTTTCTTTTGGTCTTCCAACTCTCTGACTA